TGGAATCGCTTAGAAATTTTACGGCATGAGGAAAGAATAGAATTTTTTGCTCTATCGAATGGGACACACCATTTAGCTTAAAAACTCCAATAAACACCAAAAAACTCGAGACAATCACGCCGCCGACAAACCCAATGTGGGAGATAATTGCGTACAGCGCAATCGGGCAGTGTTCGTACAGCGCCGCTGCCACCAGCCTATAGACCACGAAATGTGGGTAGTTTCGAATACTATCTGCCTGCCAAATTAAGACGCCAACTACTTGGTGAATTTTAAGATTTTTTTGAAACCATTGGTCAATTTAACATTGACAACATTTAACATTTTACGAATAAACCTTGTAACGTAAAATAAAATATCTATAAAAAGTTCATGACACGGCTGGGCTATTTTGGAACTAAACAGTAAATGGACTGTAATAAGTGGCCAGAAGAATTTTTAATTTTAGCTTATCCTGAAACACACGGATCTTAAAATATTTTGAAAAACAACGCAATGGCAAATGTTGGGATTAATATTGAATTTATTAATTTGTGGATTTCACAAGCTTAAGAAAATTGATGCAAGAATGTATCACTAAGATAATGAAAGCCGAGACATATTCGCGGCCCGCAGAAATTTCGAAACATTTTGTTTGTGATTATCCCTCTCTCTCTTACTCGCTCACTCTCTCTCTCTCTCTTTCTCTCTCTTACTCGCTCACTCTCTCCCTCACTATCTCTCCTCTCTCTCCCTCTCTTCCTCCATCTCTAGCAGGGTTGGTCACGAAAAGAGCGGGAGCTGGGAGCGGGAGCTGATTTGCGAGCCCCGCTCAAGAGCGGGAGCGGGAGCTGAAAATTTTCAGCTCCCGCTCTTTTCCAAAAGAGCCAGCTCAAGAGCTGGAGCTGAGCGGGAGCTGAAAATTTTCTCTGAAAACTCTCCTGCTCCCGCTCAGCTCCGGCTCAGAGCCGGCTCGCAGAATGACCAACCCTGATCTCTAGCCCTAACGGTCGATAAAAATGGGAGTGAGATTGGATAAAAATGGGAGTGGATTAGGTAATTGCATATACTCCTAGCTAGCATTGTAGATGAAACACAGTTTCCTCCTAATTTGACTCGTAAATAGCAGTCAAGATCAAATTCCTAATTTTGTATCCGGATAAAATCCTAGTTTCTCCGTCATTACCTTGGGGCTGTCCGATGTCCTCCTTATTGAATTTGGGCTTCTTCTCCTTCTTCTTGTCCTCCTTCCGGCGCAGCGTCGTGCGGCGGGGCACCAGCGGGGCGGCTTGCTAAAAAATTTTTTTTGGAATTGGAACTGAAAATCCGAGGATCTATGACCATCAGCATAATCTGTAAAAAATTTGCGATATCGATCACCTTTTCTTTGAAACATTTTTTCTCTTATGATTCGAGGTGAGACCGTTTTCGAAGCATATTTTTAGAAATTGATTAACTATGGAAAAAGATCGATGCAAGCGTGAAAAAGAAAAGGAATTGTTCCATCTATATTAATATGTAAATAAAGCTCGATTAATATTCGAGCGCCAGAAAGACGACCCACCTTCTTCGGCTGGCTCGACGACAGCTCCTCGTACATTCGGCGGAACCTGAAAATCAGGCAAATTTTATGCATTATGAATTCGGATCAACAGTTTTCCATCATAAAATTTAAGGCGTAAGCGGCTGTAACGGTTTCTTTTGCACCACAAATGTTTCAAATTTTTAACACTGTCCGGTCCTTGTTGCATAACTAATTTCTCCATGCTTGTTGAAGCTTTACAAATAAATTTAAAACTTAAATCTGGATTATAAAAAACAAATATAAACCTAATTACATAAAAAAACGTACTGCTCGAGCTCGGCGGGGTCGGCGATGATTTGATTTTGGCGGATGATGCCGGCGATCTCGCTGATCAGCCCAACTTGCTCCTCGCGTTCTTCGCGCTAAAACAGGGAATTAGGCCCGAGTATACCTTTTTCTAAATTTATTTAAGCTTTTTTCAAAATCCTCATAACAATTGGCAATATCTCTATGCCCTTTTATTATTCGTATTTCAGAAACATTGAATTTTAGCGAATTTTTCATTCTAAATATACCTTCACTCTAACGATCGAAACACAAGCTTGTAAATTTTTTCAATTTTCTCTGTTAATGTAACTTTTTAATATTTTTGAAGCAGAGGATTAGGACCGAATATACCTTTTTCAAAATTTATTTTTCTCGCATCATGAAGGGCTTAATTGACAATATCTCAAAAGGCTTTGTTTATGGGTATTCAAGAAACATTTGATTTTATCGAATTTTTCCTCCTTCATCTACCCTTCAAATTAACCATCGGAACGCCATCTTGGGTATTTTCTACATATTTTTGATGTTAATTTGCTTAGCTTTTTAACATGGATAATATTAACGATATTAGTGAGCTTAAACCTTACAATTCCAGAACTGTCATTCAAGAAACATTTAGTTTTATCAAATTTCTCCTGACTAATTTAATGACCGACACACAAAACTGTAATTTTTTCTACTTCAATTTCTATTTGTTAATTTCACCCTTTAATCTTTATAACATTGAATCAATGTTAGTGTTATATAATCTGAAGATTGGCGCCCTTTCAACCCCCTTAGAATCGACTAAAAAACGTACCGCCAGGTCCACCTTGAGCTCGTTGAGCTGCTTCAGCACCTCGGTGAACTTTGGCCGCTCCGAAGCCGTGTCTTGCCAACAGCTGAAAATTAGGATATCACGAACCAAAATACCAGCTTGTACCCATAAAGTCATTTTTAGTAATTTTTTCGATAGGAAAGTTTAATGAAACATGCTGCTTTTGTTGAGCGTTAACTTTGGGTAAGGCATTTCGAACAGGTACCGTATTCTTAAACAAAAAAGGTTACTGTAGGCTAAACTTAAAAATTTTATTCCGAAAAACGGCTTATAAAGCCGAGATTAAAATTGCTGTCTTTATTAAAATTTTTATTTTTATTAATTTTATTTGTTAAGTTAATAGAATTTAAATCCGAGATTTGAAACGGAGCCAGTGAATTTTTGCTTAATTTTCGAATCTGATGTTTCAAAAAAAGAGCTCTCCGAAAAAATTTGGAATGATTGAATGATGGTAATAAATGCGCTGTTTAAAAATATTAAAAGGCCATCCGCGAGCCACCCGAACAAACCCCAATATGGCTTGGCACAGTTTTTTTCGACCCCGTTTTTTCAACGGCATCGGAAAGAGCATGGTCGAATTGGTAGGGCTGCATAGTTTTGAAAGTTTAAAAAGTTAATTTTTGGGGTTTAAATTGGAGTCAAAGTTGCAGACACTCAAAAATTATCTCGAAAACTACTGAATCAAATTGGCTGAAAATTTGTGACAATGCCTAATTTGGGATGGGGATCATTTCTTTAATACATTGTGAAGCACGAAAATGAGCGGAACATAGGAATATAGCGTACCCGAAACAGTAATTTTGGATTTTCTATTTTACGGGTTTCCGAGGGTAACTTCTTTTTACTATGGAAAGATGCGCCAAAAAATTTTGCATTGAATGATGTATTTTTCATTTTACCCTCCGGTTCCCTAGCTCCGCTATAAAGCAATTACTGCGCGCAAAACAGCCCCGAGAGCAGGCAAAAAACCTCAAAACGGGCAGATTTTGAAATTTAAAATATCGAATCGTATCTAGAGAATGAGCTGAATCGATTGCAACAAAGAGCAAAAAGAAATTCGGCTTCTAAACATAGGCTGAGATCCGGGAGGAATCGAACTCGGACCCTTCGCCTGGAAGCCCTCTCGGGGGCCGTGGTGGATTGCATGAGTGCTCGCCTACCAATCCAGGGGTCGCGCGAGTTCAATTCCAGCCCCCCTTCAAAAACATTATTTCTTTTTGCTCTTTTTTGCAATCGATTCAGCTCATTCTCTAGATACGATTTGATGTTTTCAATTCAAAAATCTGCCAGTTTTGCGGATTTTGGCCTAGCCTGGGGTCCGTTTTGCGCGCAGTAAATGATTTATAGCGGAACTAGGGAATCGGAGGGTAAAATGAAAAATACATCATTCAATGCAGAATTTTTTTGGCGCATCTTTCCATAGTAAAAAGAAGTTACCCTCGGAAACCCGTAAAATAGAAAATCCAAAATTACTGTTTCGGGTACGCTATATTCCTATGTTCCGCTCATTTTCGTGCTTCACAATGTATTAAAGAAATGATCCCCATCCCAAATTAGGCATTGTCACAAATTTTTAGCCAATTTGATTCAGTAGTTTTCGAGATAATTTTTGAGTGTCTGCAACCTTGACTCCAATTTAAACCCCAAAAATTAACTTTTTAAACTTTCAAAACTATGCAGCCCTACCAATTCGACCATGCTCTTTCCGATGCCGTTGAAAAAACGGGGTCGAAAAAAACTGTGCCAAGCATTGTTCGGGTCTCTCGCAAACGGCCTTTTAATTCAACTCAAAAATATATCCACCTTAAACAATAACTTTTTAAAAATGATAATTGTTGTAAAATACCTTTGCAAAATCGACTTCAACATGTCGGGCCACTCCTTGCTGATCGGAGGCCGCAGTCCCATCGTGGCTACCTGGAAAAATGGCACTGAACTGTTAGCGGGGGGGGGGGGGGGGATTCTAGGTAATTCGGTAGGGTCAAAAACTAAAACCAAACCTTTTTATAGCATTTTACACAATTTTTAAATGTAAAAGGCGCCTTAAAACATTTAAAATTGGTCTTAAATTTCGACTTTTACGGTCAAACATATATGGAAAATGAACAAAAAAGTCAGAATTCATTCTTGGCAATGTTGAAAATGTCTTTATCAATAATTTCATGCATTTTAAACAGATTTTTCTAAGATCCTAGCACGAAAAATTATTGAAAACTATACAGATACATACAGATCAGATCGAGATTGCTTAATTTTTTTCCAATCCGATAATCTAGATTTTTCAAAACATTCTCTTTTAAATTCGTGGAATTTAAATACATTAACTGTATCGAATTTAATTCTTGTTTTTTAAGGACTTACACTGTACGCCACGAACACCGACTCGTATCCCTCAAACGGGACTTTTCGTGTCAGCAACTCCCACAGCACGATGCCGAACGACCAGATGTCAGACGCCTGCAAAACACATTTTTTGGACTATACCTTTAAATTAATTTATTATTATTGCATATTTATCATATATCATGCGGATGTAAACCATATATATTTTTCACCAAAACAATTTTTTAAATATATTGGGAAATACGATTTAGTTAATCTACCTCGGAATACTGGCGGTGCATATAGGCCTCCGGGGCCATCCACGCCTCCGTTCCGCCGGCCATCGATTGTCTAAATCAGTTTTAATTAGCACGAAATTGATTGGTAAATCCGTGAAACTAGGTTGTCAAAAAATATGTTTCGTACACCAAAATTAACAAGCTAGTACCAAGTTCTTTAATTGACGAAAGACGGCGACGCCCATTAATCTTCAAATAATCGGTGCTACGATTAAAAAAAATTGTTACGCAACTAACTGTTATTTCCCTAATCATCTCTTCCTTAATGCTAAACAATATAAGAAAAGGATGTTAACCTGTAATACAAGTAATCCGTTCCGTTGTAATTATCACAAATGACCTGTAATAAAATAATGCAACTCTGGGTTGGCATTCGCAAAGTAACTCTGCTAGCATGCCCAAATTTAGCTCCTGTTTTTCTATCTAATGCTTGCTTATTTGCCCAAAAAAAATCCCAGAAGCCAATGCACAGCCAGTTAAAAAAATGTGTTCCAGCCTTTAACATTCGCAAATCAGGGGCTAGCTAATTAATCTAGCGTTGTCGTGCAGGTGCAAAATTATTACTTCAAGTCAAAATAAAGTCATAAAATCGCAAAATCCTCGCCTGTCGTCGCTGGCCTCGCGGGTGAGCCCGAAATCGGTGATTTTGAGGGTGAGATCGCGCAGCGGGTACCCTTCGCATATCGAGCAGCGGCCGGACTAGAAAAAAGCAATGTTTTATAAAAAGTTTGTAATACAAAAGGATTTCGAATATTAATTTAGAATCTTTTCCAGCGGAATTAGCGATGTTGCATTTCGCAGAGTTGTAAAAATTGTTTCAGGCTTTTTTAAACTTTCTTAATACTTTTTGTGGTTAAAAATCTACCCAAAATATTTGAATGTTTTAGCAAAAAGTCCTCACAACTGGCGTTCGAAACTTAGTAAGTAAGCACCATTAAAAACCCAATTACCTTGGTCGGATCCCCAGTCGGCGTTGAAGCGGGGCTTCTCAGGATACACTTGCACACCGGTTCCTTCACCAATACTGAAAATTTGGTTATTTTATTCGTTTTGTTTGGATAGTTTGATTCTGTTAATTTGGAACATTCTAGCGCTATGTTTCAGAAAAATTATACACGAAAGCAAGGATGGTTAATTTTGATAAATCCGTACCCAGATGCCTCTTTTCTAGGTGTTTTCAATTTTGAAGCTTCAATCTGGTCGAAACGTATTGTGCCCCTTAGATCCGAGGCCAGTAGGTGATTTCTTGAAACATTTTTTTTCGAAGCCGGATCGTGCGAAATAAAAAGGAGCAGTCCGGAAATTATTGTCCGCAAAGCCAAAAATCCGTAGACTTGTCTTGCCAGTCCCTTTAGAGAGCCGATTGTCATCCCATCTTTTTTTGCTACGAAACCAAAATGCCGACAGCCACAATGCCGACAGCCGAAATAACGAAATTCCAAATAAAGGTAGCCAAAATATCTGCACCATTTGATTTTTCCCAGCTATTCTGGGTGTCGGCATTTTGAATGTCGGCATTTTGGCCGTCGGCATTTTGAATGTCGGCATTCCGGCTAATTATGCTAATTTTATACGTATAAGGACAGCCCGTTTTTATCAGCGCACATCGATAATTGGCAGAATTCCAAACGGTTACGCTAAGTAAAATTTCGGGAGAGTAGGTTGGCTGAATCCCACGTATGCTAATTTGCATCCGTTGAAGCGTTTTTTCGGCTAATTCAGGCTAATTTTTGGGATCAGTGAAGTGGCACAACCTTTAATTTTTTCCGGCGATTATTTTATGCATATTTTAGGTTTTTGTAGCTGTCCCGGTCCTTTTAAAAGCACCGGAAGTGAAAATCTGCACTCACCATTATCGGCCTTCAGATCTCGATGCACACAGCCGTGCTCGACCAAATGGGACATGGCAGAGGCGATTTGCGCCCCCCACCCGACCACCACTCCGGCACCCATCGCCACACTGGAGAACTTCTGCAGCACCTGGGCCAGGGTGTTCCCTGGAAAAAAAAATAGGAAAGTTATCATTTTAAAGGAGTCTTTTTAAAGGAATCATTTTCGAATCTGCGCAAATAAGGCCGTAAATTCAGCACCAAAAAACTGTTTGAAGGATGATTTTCAAAAATATGTTACATGGTACAATATTAAAAAAAAACTGAAGAAATTCCGGATTAATTCTTGATAGGAAGCTTCGGATTCTCATTTTTTATTTTTACGGGCGGGCCAGGACACAAAAATTCCGCTGCACAGTTTCTATCGCGCGCCCTTGTGACCGTAACCCCCCCAGAGCTCCCCCAGAGCCCGTTCGCCTTTTCCGACCAGCTTTTCATCGCGTAAATAATATAAAAGGAAGTGGAAAAACAAAAACAATAATAAAAAGCAAAAAGATAACTTTTTTAATTGGAAAAACACTTTTTGAAAGGTACAATGGGAAAATACCCATTAGTTGAACGTTCTGATGAGGTTAGTTGTCTAGATGTATCACTTGATGATAGAGAAGGATGGCGGGAGCGATAGAGAACAAGTTTCGGTGCCAAATTACTTTTAGCGGCTTATGCTCTTAGTCGCGATTGCCTAACGTCTGACAGATAGCAGAAACACGAAGACGTTTCCTGGTTGTTACGTGGACAAAACCTTATATGTAGGCTTGCCTACCGAAGCGAGCCTATGTTGAGCGACCATTGCATACGCTGCAGAAAAGAAAACTACAATGTTTACTAATCTTTTAGTTTATATTTTATAAAAAACAGCAGGCGGTTCCTCGATGAAGATGTTCTTCGGCGTACTCTCACTTCTGCTTGCAAAATTTCCAGCTTGTCATCCGGTTATACAGTGGCTTGAAGGCCGGCAACTCATACTATTCAAGTTGGAAGAGCAACCATTCATTCGGGAGCTGTAAAGGAACACGCTCTTAGGCTTAGCCTATGTCTACTCGTCACAGAATTTTGGTTTCTCAGCCTGGGAAGAGAGAAGACCAGAGAAGACGAAGGGTAGCGCACGTCAGGTGAATAGCTAACAAAATCCATTAAACTAATCGCAATAACTGAATAACTAATCACGAGCCGCAACTCCCTCGTCGGGTGACTCTATGATCAAGTGATACATCTAGACAACTAACCTCATCAGAACGTTCAACTAATGGGTATTTTCCCATTGTACCTTTCAAAAGTGTTTTTCCAATTAAAAAAGTTATCTTTTTGCTTTTTATTATTGTTTTTGTTTTCCACTTCCTTTTATTTTATTTACGCGATGAAAAGCTGGTCGGAAAAGGCGAACCACATGATTCCGCGGTGTTCGTGAGTAGACTGGCGGATAGTGCGCCGGACGGCGGGGGAGCAGACACACAGGGGAGGGGTGGGGCGCGGAATAGGCGGCGAAAGAGCGAGACTAGACTATAGCGCACGGGGGAAGAGAACAGGGGCGGGCCAGAGCGCAGATTCTCCCTTCCCCTGTATGCCTGCCATCATGTCCCGGTCAAACGAACACAACTGGTAAAGGGCGGAATGCTGTGGAACGGGCTTTGGGGGAGCTCTGGGGGGTTACGGTCACAAGGGCGCGCGATAGGAACTGTGCAGCGGAATTTTTGTGTCCTGGCCCGCCCGTTTATTTTTTGGCAATTGTGCATAAGAAAACACAAGCTTTGTATCGTCATTAAGCGTTGCATTTATAATGTCGAAATTGATAATGTCGGCATTCAGAATGCCGACATTTGATGATGTCGAAATTCAGTGTTTCGAAATTTCCACACGTGAATTCCCTGGAAAATCCACGAATGCAAAAAAGTTCGACATATCGAAATTTCGGCATCATGATTTGTAGGTTAATTCAAGGATGCTTTTAAGCTATCGAAACTTCCTGATGTCGAAATTCAGTGTTTCGAAATTTTCACAACCGAATCCGCTGGGAAACCCAGGAATGCAAAGAATTTCGACCTCATGACATTTCGACATTCTGAATACCGACATTATCAATTCCGACATTTTAGGTAATTAAAATATGCGAATATTTAAAAACCACATAAGGTAATTTTTAGATAATAAAACATTCATTAAATAAAACCAAGCACCCACCTTCGCACAACTCCAACAGCAACCTTCGAAGCCGGTGTCCAGGCAGATGCCGTGCAGCTTGACGACGTTCGGGTGCGAGAAGCGGTGGAACATCACCGCCTCGCGCTTCATGTCTGCAAAGATTTGTAATGATTTTTAATTAAATTAAGCTGTACAGTTTTTTGCTTTGAGAGATCTAGCAGCAGCAGAACCATAAAAACCGCGCGAGATGTTCAGACCTAAGTTACACGAAACACACAAATTTTTCAAAATTTTTGGATTTTAAAATTTCAGAATTTTTAGCATCGCATATGAATTTTTTGATGGCAAGGATAGTAAAATAAAAGGCTTTAATCAAAGTTAACAATTTTGTAACCAATGTTTTAGACAAATTAGAATTTATTTGTTCGTTCAAAATTCTAATTATTTGCCCTCTTTTTGGGACCAAATCTACGACCCCGATATTCGATTCACTCGAATTTAATTCAGATCGACGTTAAATGAACACGTAAAGGTTTGTATTTTTAGAGATCGGCATCGTCAGAAAAAGCACATTAATTTTACGTGAAATCAATTCAGTCTGAGATTAAGTGAAACATCAATTTTGCATTTTTTTTGAAAACGTTGGCATTGATGGTATGGCTTGATGGGTGGCATTGATTATTTTTGGCATTGCATTTTTTTCGCGGGTAAGAACAGCACAAATATCAAATTTGAAATAATGTCAATTACTAATTTAGAAAAGTTTCTAGTCGTATATACAACCCACTTAAAACGTTTTAATTGCTTTGTATAATCCAAATTTAAGCTGTAAAAACCTACCCTCCATGACGCCCTTGGTGTTCATGTTCTTCGGCTGTTTGAATGCAACATTCATCCAATTGCCCTGGAAAGGAACGTGTATTTTGGCAGAGAGAGAGAAAGAGAGAGGGAGAGAGAGAGTGAGAGAGAGAGAGGAGAGGGAGGGAGAGAGAGATAGATAGAGAGGGAGTGAGCTCTTCTTAAAAACTCACATTCCTCCTCAGTTGGGCCCGAAAAACGTTGGCAAACGTTCCCCAGCCGATCGAACCATTTCGCCTGATATCTTGAGCTTCGATCTGAAATTCGATTAACATAGAGTGGATTTCGATAAAGTTATGTTTATTTTCACCAAAAGATAAAAATTAAATTTCATTAAATCAAAATTCTTGATTGGATAACTAAAAAATAGAGATATTAAAATTGTTGGCACTGTTTATGAGTCTTCCCATTCTTTCATACTTCGATCACTGTGTATATTCGAGAACACTTGCCGCCCAAAGCAAAGAAATTTTTTGAAACTTATTTTTTTTGAAAGACGCCGTTTTTTGCTTATTTTTAAATATTTATGCTACTCTAATTTTAACCAAAGCATGGATTTAACAATACTTACAATTGGGGCCTCCACGCCAAGCAATCGCACGTGGGTGACCGGAAATAGGCCCCGCCTCCCGTGGTATTCACCGACGAACCACTCGCTTTCGCCACTAAAAGGAACTTGATTTTGGTCAATACTTTCAGATCATTTTAGGCTTCCGATATATTTTCCGATATAATGGCGATTTCACGCTTAAAACAAAAGTGTTTCGTCTTTGGTAGGTCAACAAATAGGGGGGAACGCTCGAATAGGCTTTCGGTTTTTCGGTTAAACTTCCTATTTTTCAGGATCAACAATAAAAATTTGAAATTCGAAGGTGGTAATTATAAATCATTAGCTATTAAATTTAAGCGAAACAAAGTAAATAGTTTTACATAAATTTTGCAAAAAGGTGTTTCATCTTGCACAGGCCGAAAATTGGGAAAAAATGCTCCATTAAGCAGCGGAATAAAAGTCGTGCTATTTTTTAAAATTACCAATTAAATAAATTAATCTGCAATGCAAAACTAGTGTTAAGATTATTTTGGGTACTTAGTAATGAAATTTAAGCAAACGAAATGTCTTTCGTGATTTTGCAAAAATGTGTTTCATCATTGACAGGTCAAACACTGGGGGGAAGATGCCCTATCAACATTATCAATAATTTTAAGAAAGTGCTCAATTCGACTATTAATTTGATTTTATAATTAGAAGCTAAATTTAACTTACGTCTTTCTCGACACTAGCCGCACAACGGATCCGTGGCGGAGCGACAGCTCGTCGTCGTTGGCCGCCTGGTAGTCGTTCAGCACGTCGTACATCTGAATAAATTAATGATGTTGTTAAAACTATTAAAATATGACGCATTAAATTTTTTAATATTAATTTTTACCTCGCTTGGCCCGGCCGCCTCTTCATATTCGGCTGGCTCGCGGAATCGGACTTCGAGCGCTGAAAAAAACTGTGTTTCATCGATGTTTCAATTCAAAAATTAATACTTAGGTCCAATTAAATTTTGTATGCTAGCTTAGGCTTAGGCTTAGGCTTTGTCTTGAGAAACTCACTTTCATTATCCGTCACATCACAATCACTCTCGTGGCTCGGCCTCGGCGTCGTTCGGGCCGAGATCGGTGACGGGCCCCCGGACGAGTCGCCCTCATTTCCTATAATAACATGAATTTTAATAATAGTTCTTTTGTATTATCGGTCGGGGGGAAGGGGGAGCCGACAGGGTTCTTAATAAAATTGCATTATACTTCAGCTGGAAAAAGTATTTAAAAATCAGTTTCAGGAAAAATTATCGATCTCCAAAAAGAAATTGAGTTTCAAGCTTGCTCTGCTCAAAACCGGATGTTTAACTCATTAATGCCTCTTCGGTTGATGGAAGAATCGTTCAGCCTAACTGAAATTTTAATTGACGTACCGTAACTCTTTGCCGACCCGGGGCGTTTCGGCGTCGTTTTTGGTAGATTGACGTAGGCGGTCTGCCGGCTGACGGGCGTCTTTAGGTTCGGCCTTCCTGACAAAATTAGAACAATATGATCTTGACCTTTATTAAAAAGCATTTAATCGTTTTCGACTATCGGGATTGGTGGATCTAAAAACGGAGCACCAATCCACATACTCAAATTTCTGCTCAAAATTATGTTTTAACTGACTGCCTAAACGTTCTTGGCTTGGGTCCATTAATCCGATGCCTTTTCCGGACAAAAAATATTTTATCTGATTTTCTAAAAGTTCTTGGCTCAGGTGTATTAATTCGAAAGGAACCGATTTAGTGTTAGATAAAATACAAAAAAAATACGGATAAATAAGTTTCGTAAAATCATGTTTCAGCAAAAACCATGGTACTTTTGCGAGTAAGTGCTTTAATTTTCCATGATGTTGACCATGTTCCTGCATACCATTTGATTAACTTTATTTCAATTAATTAAAATCTAAATTTTTTTATAAAATTAAATCCATTAAAACAAAACTAATGCAAGGATAATTTCGTGAAACAATGTTTCCGAAAATCCAAAGGTTAACCATTTTTTCGGTCGATTACTTAATTCGCTCAATTGAGTTTGGATAAATTTTACTAGTTTTTTGTAATTAACATAAATTGTTATATAAATTGCTAACTAAGAATTTAATTGTCTTTTATGTATTTTTGAATATGTTTCTTTTAAAGCGAATTTTACAAACCTTGGCCATCCCCCATGGCGATGGCTGGCGTCGCGTGCAGCACCTCGCACGAGATCGATTTCTGAAAAATCGAGAATAAATTTATTGTAATTATGATTCTGGAGAGGCGAATATTAAGGGCGTTCTTATTTCGGTAGTCCGAAATTATCAAGAAACATTAAATTCTCAGAAAGGTTCAAATAAACAAATTTTCTGGCTTGATTTTACAAAGCCGCTATTCTTATATCTTTAATGTTTACTTTATAAAACTAATTTTATAGCCTAGTTTGGTATTTTTCAAAAATATTTAAATAAAATGCAAAATTCTGGTTAAAAACTCATACCTGTTTGCTGAGCGGCCCGCGGTGCGTCGACAGAGCGTCGGGCGGCTGGAAGGGTATTGTTATTAGATACTAAGGTATTTTAGCACCTTTTTATTATATGGAGATTTTCAAATTGGGGGACTCTGACCCGGAGAACGACCTTGGAACCCTTCAAACCCTCGTGAAAAATTTTTTAGAAAAGAGGTGTTTCACCAAATTTAGAGCATGCGGAAACTTTTTGACGCAACATTGAATTGCCATTAGTTAGGATGAATGCAACTTAGTTAATTTGCCAATCTGCAAATGTCACTTGTGACTTTCTTTTGGACTACGATAAGGTTTCTATAAAATATTGACGGGAAAAGTATCTTACGGCTCGTAAAAAAATATATGCTTCATTGAAATAACGGCATCAGAAAAAGCCCGGCGTATCATTCAAGATTTTCCGTATTTTATGTGCGAAAACCTAAAGAATCGCTAATTCTAAACAGCCCTCCATTAATGCGCATCATCATCTCATTTGGATTACGAAAAGCGTTCAATCCAAAATTAACAGGAACGGGGCATCGTAGAAAGCATAGGTTTCGCCAAAATAAGTTCTTAAGAAAGCGTTTCGCTCCACAATTAGAGTTTTCCCGATCTAGCTGCAAAAAAAACCCTAAAAATTCAGCTGCCAAACATCTTTCGTTAATGCGCTTAATTCTCTGTTTTGGATTATGATAGCTTTAAATAAAAGAGTAAGAAGAAAAGCGTTTTGAAGACTCATGGAAAATATATGCTTCAGGAAAATAAGAGCATATTAAAAAACACCTGGCCCTATATTGGCTTGTCGCAAAGTTCTCAAACCAAAAATTAAAAATAAGCGCCAAAATTGTCAATCGCACATAACCTTACTTTAACGCGCTTAATTCTGGCTTTAATACCAGCATAATCTTGAAATCATGAATCAAACAAGTCAGATTTTTAAAGGAGGGCTGAAGGCAAAGGCGAGGTTGGTTTTCGCAAATATTGTTGAAAAATAGCAGGACTTGAGGAGAACTCGTAAATTTCTATACAACGCCACATGGGAATAGCGTGAAACATGTCGATTGCAATCTGAAAATGACATTTTCTTTGACGGTAATTAAGGTATCGATAAGTCCTCGGAAATCGATAATTTCAATCAATAACGTAAAGCCTTATTATTAATTTATACTATTTAGTGAAGATTTAAATAGGATATCCAATTTCTTAGGTAATTTTAAGCCCAAAATGGCCCAGGCTGAACCCAACGGGCCCGCTGAGGGGGGAGTCAATTGAAGGATGGAGCGCCAGGGGAGTGGGGGCTTCACTTCACTCAGTCTCTGCCTACCCTCTGATTCTCTACATCGTTCTTTTCCGACCCCCTCGGCGTCTCTGCCCAGCCCCTAAACGGCACCCCCCGACCCACAGGCTTCATTGCATAAGATTTGAGGCTTTGTTGAAAATTTATGTGTTTCGGGCAAAATGGTATTTCCTGTAATAAATATTGGACTATTTAAATCGTTAACACGATCTCTATAAATTTAAAAGTCCAAGGATAAGCTAGGCGCAAGTCTGGAGAAATAATGGTGTTCGCGAAACAAGTATGTTTCGCGAAATCCCGTAATCGCAAAATAGAATTTCATTGTATAAAATCTTCGTGGGATTATTGAAAATTTATGTTTCGTAAAAATTGATTTTTCGGGAAAAATTGATTTTCGCAATGCGAGTTAATTGACATTCCTAGTCTAAACTGATCCATGCTCCACCCATGGGCCTTTAAGAAGTTTGCTTTTTATAGAGCTGTCGGGAAGCAGAAAAAAACGTTGGTTTTGTCCAATATTCTAACTGCAAAAATTCAGCTTCATGGCATAGGATTTTTCAGATTTTGTAAGTTCCTATGTTTAGAGAAAAACGGCATTTCACGAAAAACCATCGCAGGTCGATAGTTTGGATTATCGGTACGGAACAAGATGGAGAAGTCTACTAAATCTGATCGTTTCGAATTGCTAAGTTCCTATATCTACAGATAAAAGGTCTTTCGTCAAATTGCCAGCTAATTGCAGAAATTTGCGACTTGATTGCATAGTAATTTGAAATTGTACAAAACTGTTTTTAAACCGTTTTTGGTTAAAAAAGCGCTATGGCAATATGAGAAAACTTAACTACTCAATTCTTTCGTCTTTCAAAAAAGGCTTACAATTTTTTTAAAACTTAATACTAGATAGCTCCTATATCTCTCTATTAGCAACGCAGCTATATGCAAAGTAGTCTAAAATCATGCTGAAGCCTGTACGCCAGAAAATTAGTGTTTCGTCGAAATGTGGTAATCGGGAAAATATAAGTTATCGAACGGCCCACCAAATTTGTCCAAGTTTCTAAAATATATTTGGATGCTAATTGTTGGGTCTTCTTGATAGCAAGAGTCGAGCAGCCGGGGGAAAATTGTGTGTTTCAGCTAATCCACCTAAGCGACGAAAGTTTGATAATTTAGTCAGAGGCGTGCAGTGATGTTGTTGCGAATTTTGGTTGGCTTGAATAATTCTTTATAGTGATTACTACAAAAATGAAAAAGTTATAGCATTAAATTTTCGCTAAAAATATCGTGACCTAGGCCCATCAGAAAAGAAACGTGGATTTCCACTAGGGGAAGGTGGCTGGCTGGCGCTATCATTTCCGTTCTTCACGTAGAGAGACAGAGAGAGGGGACCCGAAAAGGTATTCGCAGAGAGCGAGAGATGGAGAGAGAGAATTAGAGAAGCAGAGAGAGAGGCAGAGAGAAACAGAGAGAGAGCGAAAGAAGGAGCGCCGTTCGCCCGGTCGGCCGAAAAATGACGTCGTCGGGTCGGGCGGAGGGGGGAGCTGAGACCGAGAGGGTGCCAAATATTGGGGCTGGACATACAGATTGAAGTCAGAGATAGAGAGAGAGAGAGAGAGAGAGAGAGAGAGAGATCTTATTTGCTCGCCCAAACTGTATGTACCCCGCTGGACTCGATATTTTGGGCGTAGCTTTCGGATTCTGGCGTCTTTTAAATTTAAATTGAAGGGAGAGAGAGAGAGAGAGAGAGAGAGAGAGAGACGGAGAAATATCTTAATTTTCGCATTAATTTCATAGAAGTTCAATATTCATACTTTTTGACTCCGGGCCGGGCCTGCATTACAACCTGCTAAAAACCCGCAAGACCCCAAAATCTTGATACACATTTTTAAAAGCCATCTGAATCGTACCAGGTTTTTCCTTTGCAGCGTTTTTAGGATGCCGTCACTTTTCAGAGATTATCGGAGCATAACCAGCTGGGTATAATAATTTTGGGAAAAAAAGTGAAAAAACGCGTTTCACGGTATTCGATACCTAGGTTTTACGGGCTAGGCGCTAATCGAGGGTGTTTTGGTGGTTTTAACTTTTTAGCATTTCAGGACGCCAAGTGCTAGGACGAAAAAAATACGCACATTATTCGGTAAAACAGTTCCCAAAATAGGCATATCGACAAAACATGTTTTTAACCTAAGCAAAGATCAAACTTAAATTTTCCAGCAATTTCTAGGCTTCTTAAACTTCTTAAACCAGCTATTTTTAAACAAATGGCCTGTTCACGTCCCTTTAAAACATGCTAAAACCCACTTGAGCATGGCTATCCCCATCAGGGTCGATCAGCCGGATCTGGGGCACATTCTTGTTGTACAGCTTCTGGTACGGGTTCTGCGAGACGAGCGTCTCCATTTCCTATAAAAATTGTCTAGATTTTTCCAGAAATTTGTTACAATAGAGCAAATTGATACTGATTAATCCGTTCTGGAATATTTCGTTTTAGCTTTTTTCTTAAAACATATATTGTTTGAAGTAAAAGACAATTAAATCCTTTTTCCATTTTACTTGGATTTTTCCTTGCTTTCTAAAAGTTACTTTTAATAAAAAGTTGTAAGGTTTTTAAGTTTCTAAGTCGTAAAAAACGCTTTTTTTATTTATATTTAAAAGTTGTATATCAAAATTAGAAAAACAGCCGCATCGATATTGCGGACCAACGAATATTTTTCGTTCAATCCATTTTGCCTGCTTGCAAAATTAGGTTACGTTTTTTTATGGCGCTAATTTAACATAAAAGACGTAATCTATAGAATTCTATTAAAAAAGATTCTATAATCGGATTTCTAGAAGAAATGGAGGAAAAGATAGATCTGAGGGCGAGCGAATCGATATTCGTCGTCGGCGCTGTCCGGCCGGCTCGTGCTCCCCGGCTCGCGCTCCAGCCAACCGTCTCCCCCCGCGAGCCCTACCCCCTCTATGAAGTGTACGGGGGCGTATTGTCGCGGAAAAGATAAACCCCCACCCAGGAAAGATCACATGGCCCTGATGGGGAAATGTTGAGAAATCGTGGATTTTTTTAGCTTCTAGATTTTTTCAGATATGTTTTTCTAGTCTTACCAATAATATTATGACAAATATACAACTGCACCAAATCCTGCTATTTATATTCGTTATTTAAATTCATTAAAAATAGTGAGTTTTTAAAACGATATTCAAGTATTCATGAAAAATGTTACTTGAATCGACCATTTTGGCCGAAAAAACGATTTTTTAAAATAAAATTTTTTATGAAAAAGTTGCTTCCTCCCCCCCCCCGATAATGCGAAAGAACCTAAAGATTTACTTTCAAAGTAAATATGTATAAAGTATGCAATATATTATACTAATTAAGTACGTAGTAACGACGGGAATGTTTTTCGATTTTTTGATAAGCTTTGGCTGTGAAATGAAACATTAAATTTTGAGAAATGAATGTTAAAAATAACAATTTAGGCTAGGCAAAATTTTTTGGGATCTATAGTCACCGATATTTTTGAAACTTACTCTAATCAAAATTTATCGAAAAATATATAAATCACAGAAATATAAATAATCAATGATTTCGCCAGCCGGCCAGGTTGTTTTGGGGGATTTTTCCGGCAGGGAAACTCGTTGGAAAATGTAGCGTGAGAGAGGGAGCGAGAGAGAGATGGAGAGAGAGAGAGCGAGAGAGAGAGAGCGCGGGAGATACAGACAGACACACAAACAAACACAGAAAACGAACATCCATTGAAAAACCAAGAAAGGGAAATGCCCCCGCCGCCAGGGCGTCGCACGCCGGAAATGGACAGGAAATTCTGGAAGACATACAGACAGACAGGCAGACAGCGTAATAGACAAACAAACAGACGGCGCAAATGCACACGGAATTCTAGTTCTAAATAACCGGTTCTTTTCACCACATTCACGGAAAAACGTCTCCAGGATCATCGCGGAAATTATGGCAGAAAATGGAGAAAAATAGTAGAAAAGTGGATCGTTTTTCGAATATGAGCTATTTAAGAAAATCCCATTCCTAAAATATAAAAGCCTGAGTTTTGGCAAGCGCTGAATCAAAAATTAAAAAAGTGCAAAACGATGTTTCAGGAAACCATCGAAATCGCCAAAAATCCACAATGGTAGTGCGCCGAACGAGGTGATTCATTATTGATTTCTCTTTTCCTTAATCCCGTTTTCCAGCCGTATTTAGCGCATCAGGGGCAGCCTAGCAGAGATTGTTGAGGAAGAGGAGAGGGCAGGCTAGCAGAGATTGTTGAGGAAGAGGAGAGGGCAGGCTAGCAGAGATTGTTGAGGAAGAGGAGAGGGCAGGCTAGCAGAGATTGTCAACCCGAAACGACCATTTATTCATTTGACTTGTTCCCAGAAATACAGAGCACAAGAAAAGGTAATCACAACGCTGGACGGATATAAATAATTACAATAATCATGGGGTCATATCAACAAACACGCCATCATATTAGCATCGTTAAATGAGGGAAGATGAACGTCTTGGTGATGATGTAGGGGGCGTTGAAGAACGGGGGCGGGCGGGGCAGAGATCCTGCAACAATTACTTTGTTTTAAGAAATCCAGTTACAGAATTTATTTCAGGCGCAATGACATTTGCCAGTCGCCAAAATTTTATTTTTGAAAATCTGCTCAAAAAAAATCAATTTATTTTTGGTACTGGACTGTTAGCGGGGGGGGGGTTAGGTTATATTTTTTGCGTTTCATCTTTAAAATGTGTATATCTTGTTGTTTAATGGCGGTAATTAGGAGTTTTTAACTGCTAGAAAGTTTTTAAACTTTTGCTTTGAAAAAATGTTTCAAAAAATGTTTTAACATCCAAAATTTTTACTTTCCAATATCTAGAATCTTTATCCTTTTTGCATCCTTTTAATCTTTATAAAATGCTTTCATACGTTTGTATTCCTCTAAGCAAAAAAATTACGTTCTAACCCCCCCCGGTAAAAATCCAGTACCCATAATCGTAAATAGGTGTATTACGTTTGTTTTTGGGGGTAGACGCGGCGAGTAGAGGAAGGGAGCGGGCGGTAGATGAGCATGACCATGACGATGATGATGTGGTAGATGAGGGGCAAAAGGGGGGCGTGGCCAGGGCACAGCTAGAGGGCAGTAGCACCCTTCTTGTCGCCATCATCATCGTGGTGGTCAGGGGCAGCACCGGCTGAAAGTGGGAAATCCCGCGTCTACCGTACGCCGGCAAGACACCTAACAGTGCATCAGGTTGATCTCCGGCATCCTCGGCGGCACCTGCAAGTACGACAAAATTGGAGAAAAAAAAATAGTGTTTCAAATTTGTTGTTTCAATATTTAAAACTACTTCCGATATTTAATTTTTTTTGCATCGCGCTGATTTTAATACTTATGAATTTAATTTTTATGCTTTTTTTATGCCGTGTAACATAATCTGCTTAATGCCTAATTTTTAAAAAAAACCCGAAAATTGAATTTCCTAAGCGGTTCTTTGGCATTATCGGGGGGGGGGGCAACTAATTTTTTTCTACGATTCCAGAAAACACTAGTAAGGTTTTAATTGTATTTTTAGCAAAATTTAGAGCAATTATCGACGCTTGGAAAATGTGATATTTGCTTTCGGAAATTGGTAATTTTTCTTCGAAACATCGTTTTTTTCGCGTCTTTTCCCAAAAATTGGTAAAGTTTCTACATTTAGGGAGAGTAAAAAATGGTTTAGAAACACATCCTCACTTTATATTAAAAATAGAACCAGAATCAAAAAAAATTGTCCCCCGCTAATGCAAAAGCACCCTATGATGGGCTTTAAAGACGTCAAAAAGCTAGTAAAGGAATAAAATTATCGTTGGGTATAAAAAGAAGCCTGGCTCACCTCGTACAGCGTGTCCTCCTCGGGGTCGATCGGGTAGTGGTGGCGCAGGCGTTGACTGGGAATGTAACGATGTGATAATATGTTTCGGAAAAAACTAAACAATTTTTAAGCGCTGACTTTTTTAATTCCTGACCTGAGGTTGCCAAAAAAAATAGAAACTTATGTTACACGGAATAAATGTTTCGCATAAAAACTAACCTCGCGCATTCCAAAAATTAGTAAATCAACAGTATACCAAGTTGAAATTAATTTTTACTAAATTTTTTTATAAAAATAGCGGTGTATAAACCTGGAGTTAATTTAAAAATTCCTTCTTGTTCCTTGTAACGTAACAATAAATAATATAGTCGTGTTAATAAATATAGCCAAATTACAAGCGCAAAACCGTTCCAAAATACTTGCACAATTTTAAACATGAAAATTTTGGTCCAAAAGCGGGGCTTTTTGCACGAAAGTCTATTTTTTTTTTGTATGTTTTAAAAGAAATTTGCTACGCTCAGGGATACTGAAAAACAGTTTAGAAACGCTTCATAAAAAGATACAAGCTAATCAATAAAACCTACCGAGCCTGGATGCGCTCTTGGATGTTGCGCTCGATGCGCTGCCGCTCGGCGACGTCGTCCACGTTCTCGGGCGGGAACACTGAAACGCCCACAAAAAATTCGGTCCGGTTTAAAGGGGCCGGCAAGGCACTCCGGCCAGCCACTCGGACAATGCTTTTACATCCTCTACATAATCTTCTCTTTCCAATGTTATGTTCCGTAGATTTTGCCCCTTCAGGATTAGTATCAGGTTGGAAGGTAAGTCCTGTCGCCGAGATTTTGGAAGGCTGGCTAAAATCGTAGTTAGCTCCATTCTGCACATGCGATATGTCATTTTGAAGCTCTCTTCCTGAGCCGTTTCGGGAGGAGGGTCCTAGCCCGCCAAAATCGAGGAGGGCCGAGATACGGGCCCAAGAAGATTTTTCAAAAATTACCCAAAAGTGTTTTTGCAAGTTATCTCTGCATAGACCCATTTGCATGCGATACCTTTAACGCCAATCGATAGTTCTTGAGGAGTAGATATCGATAGCTGTTGAGATCATGAAAATTGGACACTGGATGACCGAGATATTGCAACTTGAAATTTGGCCCATTTCTTAGAACTTTTCCCGATTTCCCATACATTTTTTCAAAATCCGCTCTGCGCGCCCAAAAATAAAGCGGCAATTTTCGGCACCTGCCGGTCAAATCCAGCGAAATGTATGGGATTTCGAGAAACGTTCTAAGAAATGGTCCAAATTTCAAAGGCCCATATCTCGGCCGTACAGTGTCTAAATTTGATGATCTCAACATCTATCGATATCTACTCCTCGAGAGCTATCGATTGGCGTTAATGGTGTCGTATGCAAATTGCTCTATGCAGAGATAACTTGCAAAAACACTTTTGCGCAATTTTGCAAAAAACTTCTTGGGGCTGTATCTCGGCCCTCCTATATTTTGGCGACCCGGGACCCTCCTCCCAAAACGAATCAGGTCGAGATCTACAAAATGACATATCGCATGTCCAGAATGGAGCTATCTACGATTTTAGCCAGCCTCCCAAAATCTCGGCGACAGGACTTACCTTCCAACCTGATAGAAACACGTTAATTTCAGGAATTTTCACTGTGAAATTGCAGGTGCCCCCGACCCGACCCCTCCTACCGTATCTCGGCTCCCTGTTCATCTACAGGTGTGTAAAGTATACCAAAATACTCGCCAGAGCAAGAGGAACATTTTGGTATACTTTACCCACCTGTAGATGAACAGGGAGCCGAGGTACGGTAGGTGGGGGGCCGGCTGGGGGGGTAAACTGCACTTAAGCCTTTTTTGCACAACTGTAGAACCTTTTTTATAAATAATTTAACAAGTCGAATAGGAATCAAAAATTCCGGGTACTGAACTGTTAGCGGGGGGCTGGATTTTTAGCGGGAAAACCATTTTTCGCCGATAAAAAATTTAAGAAAATGAAAAACGTCAAATTTTCGAATTTACAATAATTTTTTTAAAAATTCCGAAATTTTACTAATGAACATTTTATGTAAATAGGAACGAAACGAACCATCGGAAATGGGTCCCTGGTGGCAGGGGGGCATCGGCAGCACGGCGGCGATTGGCGGCTGATTGGGAAGCGCGGCCGGCTGCTGCTGTTGCTGCTGCTGCCGCGGTTCGCTGCCACGCTGGCGGCGCTCTGCAATTTGCATAAACACTGTAAACTGGCAAATTAAAAAGCACTTCAAAAAATTTTTGAAAAAATATGTTACAACTGTTTAGCAACATTACCAGGCAATTTACGCCCTAATCTGATTTCTCCCATCCGAGCCCTATGCATTGAATTGTTAGTCAGTAAGGTAACGAGTTGTTGTCAATAATGCCATACGCTTAGCAGGGATTTTTCGGTACTTTCACATTAGCGGGGGGGGCTTCTTTAGTATTTAATTTTTCTGAATATGTAAAGAATTTACTAACAAATCAAAAAAATATAGATTTCCCATCGTAATTTTCGCAATTTTTTTTACTTTAAATATCATTAATTTTCGGGATAAAAACATTAAAACAGTTACTATTACGTTTAAAGGCATCCCTGAACTTTGATAAAAATCCCTCCCCCCGATAATGCAAAAGCACCGGGTATTTACCTTTCTGCGGGGAGGCGTGGGCCTGGTGCCGGGGGGTCATCAGATGAGGCGGCTGGCGCTGCGGGGAGCCGTGGGCGCGCACTAAAAGAAGCAGGATATCTCCCTCTCTCGCTCTCTCTCTATCTCTCTGTCTCTCTGCCTCTCTATCTCTCGCACGCTTTCTCACGCTCTCTCTTTCTCTCTCTCTCTATCTCTCCCTCTCTCTCGCTCCCTCTCTCTCCTGGGGCAAAAACCCACACTCCTCCTGGTTGGTGATGGACGGGATGCGGGGCGGGGCGCGCTGCGGAGGAGGAGCTTGAGCGGGCAGAGGAGGCGGAGGGGCCACGACAACCGCGTGCTGCGGCTGAACGGCCTGCTGATGATGGGCCTTCCTCTTTCTGCTGATATCGTCGACAGATGGCGGGGCCTTCTTCGATGCACCCGACCCTGTTCCATCCGGCTTCTGCTGGTGTTGCTGCTCCCGTGCCTTCTGGCTCTCCTTCGAATGGCCGTGCCCGGCCGGCACCAGGCTCACCGATTCCTGCCAAAAGATTATTTGGAAAAAATAACATGTTTCGAGAAGACTGTAGTTTAGCCGAGGATTCGCAAAATTTTTAAAAACAAGCCAGAAACATTCTTTCAATTGAAGATTCACGAAATTCTCGAAGCTTTAATGTTTTAGAAACATCCAAAATTCTTAAGATATTTAAGCTGAAATATTGCTCAAATCTGTAAATTTTCAAGAAAAATGTGTAAAGTTTTTACGTTTTGGAATCGTAAAAAACAATTCAGAAACACTTCCTCTATTGATATCTGAAAAAATGAATCTTTAGACCAGAATGGTACCCCCGATGATGCGAAAGAACCAATTTTTGAATGATCCGATTGCCGGAGTGAAATTTCAGTAACATTTTCAAAAAATTTAGGAATTGAATCTTTTGAAACATGAAATTTTTGCACCACGATTGAATGCTTCATCGGGCCCCCAACAACCGTACCAGTGGCTTCTTGGCAGCCACGGTGGGCGTCTTGTTGTTGATGTGGGCGAGGAGGGGGCGAGCGGCTGCCTCGGCGACGGGGCGCTGCTGCAGGCTGGCGCTACGCGGCGCGGTCGGCACCTCGCGGCGGTGGCGTCGACTGAAAAGGGGTGTTTTAATGGGGGAGTGAAAACGGCTCGGCTTAGGCTTGGCTTAGGCTTGGCTTAGGCTTAGGCTTAGGCTTGGCTTAGGCTTAGGCTTGGCTTAGGCTTGGCTTAGGCTTAGGCTTAGGCTTAGGTTAGGCTTAGGCTTGGCTTAGGCTTAGGCTTAGGCTTAGGTTAGGCTTAGGCTTAGGCTTAGGCTTAAGCTTAGGAGGCCCCGGGCTTACAGATTGCGATCGATGGTCTGCGTGCCGGGCCGGGGAACCACTTTGCGCCCGCTGCTGCTGCCGTTTCGCTGGCTGCGCTGCCTATAAAAAAGCGGTGTTGCTCGAAAATGTATAAACACTTAGGAAATTCTGGCGCTAATAGGTCGAATCGAAGCTGTCGGCTTTGTTTTCCTTTTCCATCTTTCGAATATAAATAGCACAGTGTTTATTAACTTTTCTTTGCCAATTCTACGAGCAAATTCTTGACCAAAATTTGGAATTTTTTGCATTTTTTAAGATGAAAATTTTTTCAGATATTTTGATGTGCTTCCGTTATTTCTATAATTGTGGTAGAATTTTACACGGTACCAGGACCCTAAATAAAAGTAGAAAAGTTTAGAAAACGCTCGTTTTGGTCAAAAACGGATGAAAACTACCAAAACTGTTCAAAAACATCGAATTTTCATGCAAGTAAACCGACGGATGAATAGTGTTTGGGTGCTCGGAAATCACTATCAACATTGTTAAAACATATTCGCATTAATTACTAGGCAGGCATAAGCTCTATTAATCAAGTGGGTAAGACTCCAGATAACCCCTCCCCCCCAGCCGGCACCCAACTTTTGTATCTCGGCTCCCTGTTCATCTACAGGTGTGTAAAATATACGAAAATGCTCGACACAGCAAGACGAACATTTTGGTATACTTTACACACCTGTAGTAAAACAGGGAACCGAGATACGGTAGGTGGGGGTCGGCTGGGGGGGGGAGGGTGTATCTGGAGTTCAGCCAAAAAGTGCTTGGCTCTCCCGCTAACAGTCCAGAGCCCGCAAAGCTATGATACCGTACGTGATAGGCGGGACGAACGCCTCCTCCTCGCCCTCCTCATGATGGCCATCAGTGCGTCCGCGGCGCATGCCCGTGTCCGACGGCTTCATCTCCAGCACCTTCTTCGACGAGCTGCTCTGCAACAAAAAAAGCTAAGGCTTCGGCTTAGGTTTGGCTAATAAGCTTAGGCTTACGCTTAGGCTTAGCTTAGGGTTAGCTTATGCTAAGTTTAGGCTTAGCTTAGCTTAGGCTTAGGCTCGGCCTAGGCTTACGTTTAAGCTTAGGCTTAGCTTAGGCTTACGCTTAGGCTCAAACATAGGCTTAGGCTTGGCTTAGGCTGAGCTTAGGCTTAGCTTAGGTTTAGTTTAGGCTTAGGCCTGGCTTAGGCTTAGCTCGCTTAGCTTACGCTTAGCTTAGGCTTAGCTTAGGCTTAGCTTAGGCTTAGGCCTAGCTTAGGCCTAGCTTATGCTTAGCTTAAGCTTAGGCGTAGCTTCCCCCGGTTCAACAGCTTACGGATCGATTGGCGTTCTCGTCGATCGGGTTGGCTCGATGCTTCTTCGATAGCGTACATCCCATTTGTTCCGCGATGCACCTGTATTCGGTTTGGATTTTTTCGCAAAAACTCACCCAAAAACGATGCGCTACAAAGGAATAAGTTGAACTAAGAAAATGGGTCTCTACGCCCAAGATTTTTCCTTTTAAACGCCGGACCAGATGCTAATTACGTCGAAAAACAGGAAATGCATATTTGATTGATTTTAAACTTTCACATTTTAAATTTGGATGTTGCGATACCTTTAAAAAATAACTAACACTGTCACACCACCTTTAAGATAATTTCTGATTACGCTAAAAATATTTAAATTATTTTTAGTATCACGAAACGCAAAAGTTTTCAAAGTTTTTGCTAAAAATCGAAAAATATTGATTTTCTGCGAGTTTTTGGATAGTTCTTGTGCTTAGAATATGAATAAATTTTTCTACAACAATTAAAATATTTAATTTTACGTTGTTACTTACTTCCAAAAAATTCGCTCCCCCCCTCCCCAATTTAGCGACCCCCCCCCCTGATGCTGCAAAAGCACCAAAATAAAATGCGTATAATTTTTTTATTAAGTGTTTCCACTTGAAATCTATGACATTTTAGCAAAAACACGATTAAACTGGCAAAAAGGAAAATTCGGGCGCGGTCGGGCAAAAAATATGCTTCACGAAATTTCATTTTCTGGTTGGTGATGGACGGGATGCGGGGCGGGGCGCGCTGCGGAGGAGGAGCTTGAGCGGGCAGAGGAGGCGGAGGGGCCACGACAACCGCGTGCTGCGGCTGAACGGCCTGCTGATGATGGGCCTTCCTCTTTCTGCTGATATCGTCGACAGATGGCGGGGCCTTCTTCGATGCACCCGACCCTGTTCCATCCGGCTTCTGCTGGTGTTGCTGCTCCCGTGCCTTCTGGCTCTCCTTCGAATGGCCGTGCCCGGCCGGCACCAGGCTCACCGATTCCTGCCAAAAGATTATTTGGAAAAAATAACATGTTTCGAGAAGACTGTAGTTTAGCCGAGGATTCGCAAAATTTTTAAAAACAAGCCAGAAACATTCTTTCAATTGAAGATTCACGAAATTCTCGAAGCTTTAATGTTTTAGAAACATCCAAAATTCTTAAGATATTTAAGCTGAAATATTGCTCAAATCTGTAAATTTTCAAGAAAAATGTGTAAAGTTTTTACGTTTTGGAATCGTAAAAAACAATTCAGAAACACTTCCTCTATTGATATCTGAAAAAATGAATCTTTAGACCAGAATGGTACCCCGATGATGCGAAAGAACCAATTTTTGAATGATCCGATTGCCGGAGTGAAATTTCAGTAACATTTTCAAAAAATTTAGGAATTGAATCTTTTTGAAACATGAAATTTTTGCACCACGATTGAATGCTTCATCGGGCCCCCAACAACCGTACCAGTGGCTTCTTGGCAGCCACGGTGGGCGTCTTGTTGTTGATGTGGGCGAGGAGGGGGCGAGCGGCTGCCTCGGCGACGGGGCGCTGCTGCAGGCTGGCGCTACGCGGCGCGGTCGGCACCTCGCGGCGGTGGCGTCGACTGAAAAGGGGTGTTTTAATGGGGGAGTGAAAACGGCTCGGCTTAGGCTTGGCTTAGGCTTGGCTTAGGCTTAGGCTTAGGCTTGGCTTAGGCTTAGGCTTGGCTTAGGCTTGGCTTAGGCTTAGGCTTAGGCTTAGGTTAGGCTTAGGCTTGGCTTAGGCTTAGGCTTAGGCTTAGGTTAGGCTTAGGCTTAGGCTTAGGCTTAGGCTTAAGCTTAGGAGGCCCCGGGCTTACAGATTGCGATCGATGGTCTGCGTGCCGGGCCGGGGAACCACTTTGCGCCCGCTGCTGCTGCCGTTTCGCTGGCTGCGCTGCCTATAAAAAAGCGGTGTTGCTCGAAAATGTATAAACACTTAGGAAATTCTGGCGCTAATAGGTCGAATCGAAGCTGTCGGCTTTGTTTTCCTTTTCCATCTTTCGAATATAAATAGCACAGTGTTTATTAACTTTTCTTTGCCAATTCTACGAGCAAATTCTTGACCAAAATTTGGAATTTTTTGCATTTTTTAAGATGAAAATTTTTTCAGATATTTTGATGTGCTTCCGTTATTTCTATAATTGTGGTAGAATTTTACACGGTACCAGGACCCTAAATAAAAGTAGAAAAGTTTAGAAAACGCTCGTTTTGGTCAAAAACGGATGAAAACTACCAAAACTGTTCAAAAACATCGAATTTTCATGCAAGTAAACCGACGGATGAATAGTGTTTGGGTGCTCGGAAATCACTATCAACATTGTTAAAACATATTCGCATTAATTACTAGGCAGGCATAAGCTCTATTAATCAAGTGGGTAAGACTCAGATAACCCCTCCCCCAGCCGGCACCCAACTTTTGTATCTCGGCTCCCTGTTCATCTACAGGTGTGTAAAATATACGAAAATGCTCGACACAGCAAGACGAACATTTTGGTATACTTTACACACCTGTAGATAAACAGGGAACCGAGATACGGTAGGTGGGGGTCGGCTGGGGGAGGGTGTATCTGGAGTTCAGCCAAAAAGTGCTTGGCTCTCCCGCTAACAGTCCAGAGCCCGCAAAGCTATGATACCGTACGTGATAGGCGGGACGAACGCCTCCTCCTCGCCCTCCTCATGATGGCCATCAGTGCGTCCGCGGCGCATGCCCGTGTCCGACGGCTTCATCTCCAGCACCTTCTTCGACGAGCTGCTCTGCAACAAAAAAAGCTAAGGCTTCGGCTTAGGTTTGGCTAATAAGCTTAGGCTTACGCTTAGGCTTAGCTTAGGGTTAGCTTATGCTAAGTTTAGGCTTAGCTTAGCTTAGGCTTAGGCTCGGCCTAGGCTTACGTTTAAGCTTAGGCTTAGCTTAGGCTTACGCTTAGGCTCAAACATAGGCTTAGGCTTGGCTTAGGCTGAGCTTAGGCTTAGCTTAGGTTTAGTTTAGGCTTAGGCCTGGCTTAGGCTTAGCTCGCTTAGCTTACGCTTAGCTTAGGCTTAGCTTAGGCTTAGCTTAGGCTTAGCTTAGGCCTAGCTTAGGCCTAGCTTATGCTTAGCTTAGGCTTAGGCGTAGCTTCCCCCGGTTCAACAGCTTACGGATCGATTGGCGTTCTCGTCGATCGGGTTGGCTCGATGCTTCTTCGATAGCGTACATCCCATTTGTTCCGCGATGCACCTGTATTCGGTTTGGATTTTTTCGCAAAAAACTCACCCAAAAACGATGCGCTACAAAGGAATAAGTTGAACTAAGAAAATGGGTCTCTACGCCCAAGATTTTTCCTTTTAAACGCCGGACCAGATGCTAATTACGTCGAAAAACAGGAAATGCATATTTGATTGATTTTAAACTTTCACATTTTAAATTTGGATGTTGCGATACCTTTAAAAAATAACTAACACTGTCACACCACCTTTAAGATAATTTCTGATTACGCTAAAAATATTTAAATTATTTTTAGTATCACGAAACGCAAAAGTTTTCAAAGTTTTTGCTAAAAATCGAAAAATATTGATTTTCTGCGAGTTTTTGGATAGTTCTTGTGCTTAGAATATGAATAAATTTTTCTACAACAATTAAAATATTTAATTTTACGTTGTTACTTACTTCCAAAAAATTCGCTCCCCCCCTCCCCAATTTAGCGACCCCCCTGATGCTGCAAAAGCACCAAAATAAAATGCGTATAATTTTTTTATTAAGTGTTTCCACTTGAAATCTATGACATTTTAGCAAAAACACGATTAAACTGGCAAAAAGGAAAATTCGGGCGCGGTCGGGCAAAAAATATGCTTCACGAAATTTCAATACTCGGGCAATTTGGGTTTGCATAATCATGCAATTGTTGACGCGTCCTCCCAAAAAAACTTCGATCCCGATGGAAAACGGTCGGTTTTCAGTGACGATTTTATGCAATTTTGTTTTTTTCTGATTCAATATTCAAATCAGTTTTTTGCAGTCTGCTCCAAGCTGTTCGCCATCGTGCGCTGCGTCTGCGTGCTGACCGTCTGTACGAATTTGTCTAGCTGCTCCCGAAAACACAATTTTTAGTGATCCTGCCCCTGGAGTACATCATCTACAACGACTTCTGGGGGCTCACCGAGAGCCCGTACGTCTTAATTTATTTTTATTCACTTTCTTTTTTATTAAGAAGATTGGATCTTTGACATATTCGGGGGGCGAAATGTTTCGCATAAGTCTAGAAATGTCTAGTCATTTAATAGAAATTGTTTCCATGGAGTTTAGAGTTCAAAATAACTATTTTTAAACGAGAAATACCATCAAAACTGTAAAACATTTTAAAAAGTCAAACATTTGGTCGAAAATCGGCCATTTTGTCGAAAAACTAGATTTTTTATGTTTTTTTTTCATAAAATTTTGTAGTTTTCGCGTTTACGAATAGTAAAAAAACGTTGAGAAACACTTACACAATTGATATTGGAAAAATTAGATGTTCTTAAACGTCAAAACATGCAGCTTTCCTAACAAAAAATATCGATTTTGCGCCCATATGATTTTTAAAAATTGTTAAACTTTTAGTTAGTTTACGACTTCAAAATAACGCAGAATTTTATTGAATACACTTTAAAAGAACCCCCCCGATAATGCAAAAGAAACCGAAATCTCATCTTTCCAGTTTCGCCTGGTGGGCTGCCCTCCGCTTCATCCAGTGGCAAATTTTGCTAAACGTGCTCGCCATCTGTTGGGCCAGATGGTAGGATTTTATGTAGCATTTTTTTTCGCATTTGTTTATTTTATCCGCAGGTCAAATTTCTCATGCAAAGACCGCATTCCAGCGCCCAAGGCCCGCGAACCGGTTTCGGGCGCTGGTTTACAATAAATTAGAATGAATTTTTATCAAAAGTTAAAGTAGGTATGTGAAACATGAGCTGGCTAAGCTCCAGATAACCCCCCCCTCCCCCCCAGCCGACCCCCACCTACCGTATCTCGGCTCCCTGTTCATCTACAGGTGTGTAAAGTATACCAAAATACTCACCAGAGCAAGACAAACATTTTGGTATACTTTACACCGGTAGATGCACAGGGAGCCGAGATCCAAAAGTTCAGTGCCGGCTGGGGGGTTTATCTGGAGTCTTACCCATCAGCTTTTTTATCAATTTTATCTTCATTTCAGTGCTTTTGTTGATATTGACTATTTTAAATTGGTTTGATTTTTATAAATTGATTGCAACATTTTTATTTTGCCCTTTGCAGCGTTGAGCCGGGCGGCGTCACGTCGGCGCGGCTGGTGTTGGAGAAGCCGTTGCTGCTTTTGTTTGAAAAGGTTGGAAAAGGATAAAATTCGCTCTCTCTCTTTCGCTCTCTCTCTTTCGCTCTCTCTCTCGCTCCATATTTTCTATTTTAGCGTTGCGAGCTGATTCTGGCCATCTACGTCTACATCGGGACCGCCATCGGGATCTCGTTCGTGCTCGGACAACATCAAAAGCAAGAAAAAGCGCTGTACGTCTCCCCAATGGTTTCTGCTAGCCTGCCCTCTCCTCTTCCTCAACAATCTCTGCTAGCCTGCCCTCTCCTCTTCCTCAACAATCTCTGCTAGCCTGCCCTCTCCTCTTCCTCAACAATCTCTGCTAGCCTGCCCTCTCCTCTTCCTCAACAATCTCTGCTAGCCTGCCCTCTCCTCTTCCTCAACAATCTCTGCTAGCCTGCCCCTCTCCTCTTCCTCAACAATCTCTGCTAGCCTGCCCTCTCCTCTTCCTCAACAATCTCTGCTAGCCTGCCCTCTCCTCTTCCTCAACAATCTCTGCTAGCCTGCCCTCTCCTCTTCCTCAACAATCTCTGCTAGCCTGCCCTCTCCTCTTCCTCAACAATCTCTGCTAGCCTGCCCTCTCCTCTTCCTCAACAATCTCTGCTAGCCTGCCCTCTCTTCTTCCTCAACAATCTCTGCTAGCCTGCCCTCTCCTCTTCCTCAACAATCTCTGCTAGCCTGCCCTCTCTTCTTCCTCAACAATCTCTGCTAGCCTGCCCTCTCCTCTTCCTCAACAATCTCTGCTAGCCTGCCCTCTCCTCTTCCTCAACAATCTCTGCTAGCCTGCCCTCTCTTCTTCCTCAACAATCTCTGCTAGCCTGCCTCTCTTCTAGCCACCACGACGATGAGAACTACACGTCGACGGGTGTTGCTCAGCTGTTCTCAGATGTGGTGGTCGGCTACTTCTACCTGTTCACCTCGATCTTCATCACCCGCCGAGCGCCCTCCTGGGCCGACCTCTTCCACTATACGGTGCGGTACAAGATAACATTGTTACCTTTAGCCTTTTTTGTCGGGGTTTCATAGGTTCAATTGGGTGGGTGTCGAAACTATGCTAAAAAATTATTCTATTTTTTCTAATCTGTTTTCAGAGCACAATCTGGCTGTTCATCAACATCATCGGCAGTTTCTTGGATGTGCTTGGCCAGGTGCGAGATTGTTCTGATTGGAACATCAATTTTTTAGTTTGTCCGCCTGGCCTGCGTCGACGAGGATGACGAGCTGTTCAACCATGTCGCCCCGCAGGATCGGACATTCAGTGGGTAGAAGAGAGAGAGAGACCAGAGAGAGAGAGAGAGAGAAAGAGAGAAAGATAGAGAGAGCGTGAGAGAAAGAGAGGTTGAGAGAGAGCGAGAGAGAGAGAGAGAGAGAGAGGGTGAGAGCAGGCTGACAGAGATTATTGAGGAAGAGGAGAGGGCAGGCTAGCCGAAATTCTTGGACAACATCCCCTTTTTCAGAGTCTCGCCTAATCGCCCTGATGGGATCTGGGAGCTGGCTGAGGCAGTTGAGCAACTTCATCGTCCCGTTTTTCGACTACCAGAAGCGCTCAACAACCGACGGCTCGTTCGAAGTCTAGTCCTCCTCATGCTCCCTCTTCTCTGGCTCCCCTGAGATGTTTCTCCCTATCTCTGGCCCCCCATGCCCTCCCATTTCTAACGCCAATGGGCTGAATAAAGTGCTTTTTCGGGTGACGATTCGGAAAACAATTCGTTTTTGTAGAAGAGAATGAATAAAATATATAAAAGGTATATAAAAAATGCTTACTAAAAAAACTTTAACGTTAAACAGTAGGAAACGAATAATATTAAAAATTTATTCAAAACACAGTTTTCGACTGCACCTTCACGCTGTTCTTGCCGAGCGTAATCTTCTGATCTCCCATGTCTGCAAAAAGTGTGATTTACAAAATGGTCTTATATCGTGGATTTTCATCCTGACTTATCCAATTTACAGAATGAAACATCATTTTTCAATTCACCTTTCTGGCGGCAGTTTCAATAAAATAATGGGAACTTTATTTCTAATATTCAAAATAACTGAAAATATTTAAAACGTCTTCTATACCCCAAAAATCTTCTATACCCCCAATCACTTACCTTTGGAGTGGATGCTGAACACTTTGACCTTTTCGCCGTCGGCGCCCTCCTCCTCGCCGACGCTCACGTCCGGCTCGTCATCACCGGCCCAAAATTTTTCAGATTAATTTGCATTTCAAGCCCCGCTCGTATCTAATTTTCGGCATTTTCGAACTAAATTTGGGTTATTCTACCAGAAAAAATGCTGAGCAACCCATTTTTTTCTGAAACACATTTTCTAAAGCCGATTTTTAGAGAAGACTACGTTATTTATTATTTTCGGCGTTTTTGCTGAATTTGTGCGTTTTTTGACGCCATTTGGCAGAGTCTTAAGCGATCAACGATGAATTTTTATCGCGGCGAAAATATCTTCATACGAAAAAGTTATTGCAAAATAACGATCGTAATGGGGTTCGAACGACCATTTTCGACATTTTGTGCTAGATTTTTGCGGTTTGCAAGATGCCGATCGATAGAGCATCAAAAAATATGCTAGGAATGTTAATTCCAGCTCAAAATTACGTATAATAAAAAAGTTATAGCAAAAAGTGAGGCCTAGAACGCGATTTCCATATAGGAAAATTTAGTGAAAAGCTAGTTTTCGACATTTGCGGTATTTTTTATACAATTTAGCCATTAGATAGAGCGTCAAAAATATACTAACAATATAAAAATAAGTGTTTTAATTTGAGTGCGAAGTAATGCAACATAGGAATTACAAAATACAGCAGAAATTAATGAAATCCGGAAACATGGTAAATTTAATTGAGTTTTAAATTATTTTTTCGAATTATTCACGTTTCCAAAGGGTCGTTAAACCACGCCCAAATAATTACAAACTCTTTTGTATACAAAAACCAGTGGAAAAGCCGTATAGAAATGGTTCGTTTAAGTCTGATAAATCCCATTCAATAACTCTAAAAAATGTTTCGGCGATGCGCCGTACTCAACACAGATTTTGTAAGTTAATCGTTCGCGGGTTGAGACAGCCAGTAAAAAATCTCACCAATTCGATGGGTTGTCCCGGTGATGACGAGGGGAAGCCTGTAATTTTATACTTTCTACGACATACTTTGCACTTTAATTTATTCGCTATAATCATTTTTGGAAAAGTTCATTTTGTCGAAATTCGTTTCGTCGAAACAACAATTTTTTGCCATTCATCTTGTCGAAATTTCATTTTAACGAAACGAAAGAAATTTTAAAAAATGAGCCGTCGACAAGTTTCGACAAAAAGAAATTTCGAAAGACTGAAATTTCGAAAAACCAAAATTTCGATAAAATAAAGTTTCGAAAAATAGACATTTCGACAAATTGAAATTTCGACTATATAAAAATGTCGTCATGCTAACCCTACCATTCTCTGGTTGGCCAGGCTGAATAGTTGGGGCGGAAGCGGGACTACCTAAAACTCCTAGGGTTAGTTTAGAAAATTATGCCATAGAAAACTTGAATTTAATTAAATTAACGCATTGTGAAAAATTAGCCAAAATAAAATTCGGTACTTTTAAATTTTATTTGAAACATACATAATTTTGATAGACATTATTGATTGATGTGAAAAAAGCGTAATAAATAAGAGCTGTCTCATTGCAGTAGAATATTTTACTCAAAAATTTGAAATACACAAAAATTTAGTTTTTTTAAGTATTTAATGTTTATGAAAGCTTTTCTTTTATTTAATTTCAGTGGGTTTAATTGCAGGATGACGTAGAGTTAAACCTTCTCAACCAAGTAATTTCGAGCTTACAAAACCTGAATTAAAATGTTATACTCACCAATTTTCAAGTCGTTTAGCGCCGGCTCGTCTTGCGCCACGGCCAAGCCCACTAATTGTAACGTATACAAAATACATATAATTTAAATACTTACCAAGAACCATCAAAAATAGAAGAATTCTAGTCATTTTTCGAGTTGTGGGAATCGATGTGAAATTCAGAATGGACCGGCCGATTATTTTTTGGTCGTGAAATCGGTGTGTTTCGCCGTTGTTAATTGCCCGGCTCGTTATTCGAGGATTAGCCGGCCAATCGACTAATAATATTTACCGCACACTTTTGGCAGCCGACCAACGTTTAGTGTAGTTTTAAAACGGAATAATAAAAATAGATAATATAGAAAAATCCTAGGTTTCGGAGAATACACATTTTCACGTTTTCAGAACTTTTCAAAAGTTAAAAAGCTACACTTGATGAGTTAAAATTAGCGAAAATTAAAATTATGATAAATCGCAACAATCAACTAATTTAATTCAGGAAAAATTAGTGAATGTCTTGAAAGTCAAAAAAGCTGAAAAACTAATTACAGAGGCACCAAACTTCTATCAATACTAATTTAAGTAAAAAATGTAGTAAGTAAGTAAGTAAATTTTCACGCTAAAAATCCCCAATAACGAAACATGTCGAAAGTCTCATGACGGATTCCCATATCCGCATGATTCCTTTCGAGGGAAAACCATTACGTAATCCAATCCGGGTCCCGCCGCGGGGCGCTCGGGAGGAATTTCCCACCGTACCCGCCCCCGGCTCAGAGGGTCCCTTTTCAGTCCCGCGATTTATGGGTAATTCTCACGGGAACTGAACCCTTGTCGCTCGTTGATCCAACACCCTGTTCCGGATCCTAATCCCCGTGACTGGCATAGCTAGCGCGGGTGATTAGGCTTCCGAGGACTATGACATTTCCTCGTGCTCTCAATTCTCTCGTGTTCCGGTAATTGTGTGTCTACTAATAAACCTTTTGTCTCTATTCCTTTTCTATATTGGTAATCGCATTGCAAGCATTGGGAGAATCACAGAAATACTAAATCCACTGAACAACCGATGCCTCTGAATGGGGTTACTCTCTCTTAAGGGTGACAGTGGCAACCTTCCTCATATAGTTGATCATATCCTATATGGGGAATGGAGTGTCTCCCTTTTGACATGGTGCGTCGGCCGGGAATCGAACCCGGGTCGCCCGCGTGGCAGGCGAGCATTCTACCACTGAACCTGACTGGAGAGAATTGGTAACCGTAGGGGTGGCCCGGTCGGATGGAATGATCCGGGTTGGCCAACTATCCCCTAGTAGGGATTTATCCTTACGCCGCGGTCCTAACTCTCCAGGAGATGGGCACGGTAAGTCGTCCGAAGGGGGATGGTGGTGTGCTAATCAAAGGTACGCAACTTTGAATAGACCCAATTCGCTAAAACCAGAACCGCCGTTGGCCAACGGCAAGAGATTGGGGAGCAGCTCGGTAGTTTGCTTTCGAGCGGCCTGGCTCCCCCATCGGGAAGGCATGCCAACACTCGATGAGCCTTGCGCTCTGGTAGTTAGGCAAAACCCCGTCGCTTGAAACCAAAACCGCCGAAGAAAGAAGGAGATGCTACGAGTGTTGGACAACAAATTCGACAAATCGGCAAGATTTCGGCATGGTCGGCTCACGGAAGGCAGCAACAATGTGACGACATCGCTGTTGTTGGAAGGGAAGTTGTCCATGGGTGCCCAATTAGGTATTCTTGACGCTTGTCGCAGGAATTACTTGATTTGCGCATTTTTCTCTTGCAGAATCCCATCAAATTCAGCACCTACGAATTTCGCATTACCAAAAACCTTTGCTTTTTGTACCAAAACCGAATTTCGATGTAAAAAGTCATGCAGTAACGCAGAAACTAACTGCCACTTGCTGTTTGATGTTCATTCCATTTTCTCCGGAATGAAAACATCGATTTTGAAACCAAAACCGAAGGAATAGCTGCAACCCGTAGCTTATTTTTTCAAGAAATTGCAGCTGTTGATTCTATTTATAGCGTCCTCAGCGCAATTTTCGAAGAAATCAATTTTCTTCAACCAATTCCATGATCAGCACAACGTTGGCTTACTTTTCCAAACGAGCGAAGAGAAAGAAGAAGGATTTCTCGGAAACAACACGGAATTCGCAAAGTTTGGACGCCTAAAACACAAGGGGTGTACGAACTACACCGCCGGGGTACGGTAGCCGCGGGCTAGCGGACAACCCCCTCTCGATTTTTCTCCCAAAATTTGCGAAGAGGAATTACCCTCACCCGTGTGTTTTCGATCCTTTTTTCTGTGAAAGTTCCTCATTTCACCCTTTCTCTATCAAATTGCTCTATTTGTTGCTGATCATGTACCCAAAACGAGGTTTGAACCAAAACCACTTTCTGATCAGTTTTCGGCAACAATATGAATCCCGTATTGCCCGTTAACTGGGGAAATTTTATTTCCTTATGTCAGAAAGCCTGAACCAAGCCAAGAATTCGGCAGTGAACGTGGCGATTGCTATATTGGTTGCCCTCTCTGCCGGCATTCATAACCAAAACGAGTTTATCGACGTTGAGCGACATTTCTCGCCTTCGAAGATGAATTCAACAGGACAAGTCTTATGATTGCTGTTGACGTTTGCTATAGTGGTTGTCCGCGTCATAAGATTTTACTGTATTTCCCTCAGGTTCTACTCTCACGGTAGAATCAAACAGTTCCTTTGAGAGCAGTGAGCATAGTTTCACCGAGTGTGAAATAAGGTTCGCGGCACGCATTAGTGTGCGCTCTCAAATTTCAACGCAAAACCGTTTGGGAACAGTGAGCATAATTTCACCATGCGTGAGATAAGGTTCGCGGCATGCATTTGCATGCGTTCTTCGAATATCCAATACCCGTCAACGCGCCACAAGCCGAAACGTGCGCCCAATGGCCGAAGTTCGTCGGATCGCTCGCCAGAAGAGCTCGATGGGCGTCAAACATCGATCGTCGGCGGCAGTGCAGCGATCGTCTAGCTGTAAAGTCGCTGGCGTTGATGCGAAATGTTCAAGTTCGAGGCTGCTGGCGCCGGAGATGATGCTCGTCGCCTTTGTGCCACGGCGAATCAAGACTTCTGTGCTACCGATCGTTAAAAATGAGACGTGGGCAGCAAAGTCTGCGCTGACAGGTCACTCTACCCAATACCAATCTTTCCTCGATGTTCGGCACACCAATAATGTGATTAAATGTCACCTCTTATTGATAGTTGCTTCCTAATTTGTATAGGAACATCGTTGAAAAACCCCAAAACGAGCAGAAATTGCGTGGAATTAGCAATTCGCTAACACAACGTCGTTTTGAGCTCTATTGCGCGTTGGCAAAAACGAATTTGCTATTCGCGAAGTCAAATCCGCGTTTAGAAGAAGAAATACGATTCGTTTGTCGCTAATTCGTTGGACAAATTCGTTTTTAAGCTTGGAAACCTCGCGTTTCAGGCGGCCAAACGTGCAATATCCAAAACCAGGAGCATTGATTAATCCATTCAATGTTTCCTTTATTCTATTTCCAAAACCAGTATGAATTTAGGTAGTTTCAGGCATTCGGTCGGACTTCCGGCTAGCTTGCCTGCTTACATACCTCTATTTCGTACACAGAACCCAATTCCTCGGGCGTAGTCGTTCGTTCCAACGAGCGCGCGCTCGCAATATTTGTTTTTGTTCATCGAGCAAGTCTCGCGCTGAGCAAAAAGTAAATAAACAATGCATTTTGCATTACCGCGCAACTTTTGAAGTTGCGGCGGAAACACAAAACCTAGAACCAGCACCTTTTCGGCGGAAAGACGAGTGCAAAACACTCCCTTTCACCTTGCTTGCGCAATATGTTTGCAAAAGCGAGCCGTCGAATGCAAATACCAATACCAGCAGCTCATTCGTACGCCGGGCAACTCTTGGATCGACTCCACCAGCCCGCCGACACGTGTTCAAGGATATCGTGAAGCTTCTGCGCAGCCTCTACGGCCGCGAAGCGTCGATACCTCGTACGAGTCGGTGCTGCGCGTCATGGATGGCGTCGATGGAGGTCTGGCACCGATGATTTCTGCATTCTTTGCAAGTAACCATTTGGCATACGTTTCTTGACGACATGAACTCCGTGTTACGTCGGGAATACGTGATTTGTTAATCGTTGCTAACCAAAACCATGGTTAATAGAGAATTCTGTTTTCCATATTCAAAACCAAGGTAGAAAGGAATTTCCTTTGGTTGCGCGCTCATTGAGTCGAACCTGAAATTACTTTGCCGCTCAGAACCAAGTCCCTTTTTGTCTCAGAACCAATGTCAAGGGTCTTGTGAGAAGGGTTCGTCCCCCTCGCCGGACCCTGGCCTGATCCAATATCCAACACCGGCCGCGTACGCCAACCAGTTCGTCCTCGCGCTGCATGGTCGCCTTCCACGCTCGTGTCCAAGTCCATGGTCCACAACACTCCACCTATCGGTCCAGCAGTGCTCAAGCGTTCCAGAAGTACGTTCCCTTCCCCTAACTGTTTCGGCAGAGGTACGGGCCTCCTAGCGCCACTCAGTTTCCCACCCCTTTTGTCTTTATGACCCATCGTTCCCCACCCCTAGGATTTCTAATGTCTTGGCCCTCCCGCCCCCAGTGTTTTTCTAAATACACACATTTATCCGTTTCACTTCTTCCACCATCCACCATCACGAGATGTCACACCCCTATCGTGTATTTAATACCAATTCCGCCTTTCCCGGGCCCCCAGGCCTTCTCACCAGACCATTTTCCTACCAAGCCTACCGCACCCCAGTCCAGAGGGTTCAACTCATACCTCTACTGGGGGGTCGCTCAATCTGGTCCACATCGGCAGCCAGGCCGGAGGGTTCTACCCATAACTCCCCTGGTGAGGCATCGCCCTCGTTGTCCGTGTGGGCCGGGAGTGTCGAAAGTCTCATGACGGATTCCCATATCCGCATGATTCCTTTCGAGGGAAAACCATTACGTAATCCAATCCGGGTCCCGCCGCGGGGCGCTCGGGAGGAATTTCCCACCGTACCCGCCCCCGGCTCAGAGGGTCCCTTTTCAGTCCCGCGATTTATGGGTAATTCTCACGGGAACTGAACCCTTGTCGCTCGTTGATCCAACACCCTGTTCCGGATCCTAATCCCCGTGACTGGCATAGCTAGCGCGGGTGATTAGGCTTCCGAGGACTATGACATTTCCTCGTGCTCTCAATTCTCTCGTGTTCCGGTAATTGTGTGTCTACTAATAAACCTTTTGTCTCTATTCCTTTTCTATATTGGTAATCGCATTGCAAGCATTGGGAGAATCACAGAAATACTAAATCCACTGAACAACCGATGCCTCTGAATGGGGTTACTCTCTCTTAAGGGTGACAGTGGCAACCTTCCTCATATAGTTGATCATATCCTATATGGGGAATGGAGTGTCTCCCTTTTGACAAAACATTTTAAAAACCTGATTGTTTTTTTAAATTGTGATCCGCGTTCATTTAAAACCAATTAATTTCATTAAATGAAATTCTATTAGTACTCTCTTCGCCAAAAAACACAGATTACATAAATCTGCTGATGGGTGGCGCTAAAAAATTGTGAAACACATTTCCTCATCCCATCATAGGCCCGCCGATGCCTGGCCCCGGGCCGCCCATCATCCCGGGCCCCATACCGCCACCTGAAAAGGTTTATATAATTTGAAATGATATTATTTAATACACGAATTATATGCTATGAGTTGTTAAGCCTGATGTGAAAGGGATGGTGCCAGCAAGAGCTTAAAGGGGATTTAGTGTGACGAATGAATCGCAAGCGATATTAATTTTGGACAGCCTGGCTAAGATCCGAAAGCCTAAAATCAAAACATTCGAAAGTTTTTCATCTCCATAAACATCTACGGCCACTTGAAAATTATCATGGCTAACTGCTGCAAACCTGGAACATAAATGTTTCAAAAAAATATCCGGCTCAAGTAATAACGCGTCTCGAATATTCATATTTCGACCAGGGTGTAATTATACGGCATTGTTGCTGGTTTTAAAATTAGATTAATTAAAAGCAGGGCTCTCAACAGAGTTAGATCGTCTACAGGCTGCTACATAATAAGCCTTGGCTTACCGTATCCACCGCCACCTCAAATCAAAATTTAATTAATGACATTAAGTTTTTGAGTCGCGAAAAAAGTAATTCTCCTATTTACCACTGTAATGGATTCATACGTCTTCATACTAGAAGCTTTTACATACATAACAAGTCCTTAATCCTTGCAAAGTGTAACGTACCGTACTGGCCGCCTCCACCGTACATCCCTCCCATATTTCCGCCGTTCATTCCTGGATTTTGAGGGTTTTTCAAAGAGACAAATACGACAAGAGCATGATTTTTTTCTTCACTAATTAGCTCGAATAAAAAGTAGTAGCCGAAAATTGAATATCACCAACTTTTTAAATAATTGCTCGACTTCCAAACTCACCTCCTCCACCGTAGCCAGGGAACGGCATCGCCGCGGCTAACGATATCAACAGCAACATTGCGATCAGGAATTGGTGCATTCTAAATTACAAAAAAAGATCAATTTATCGATTAGAACTTCCAAATAAGAAACCGAAAAAATCGCCCGACCTAAAAACCCGTGAAACACTTTGTTTTCGAAGTCTTGATTTGTTTCGTTGACCCGAACGAAACTTTAAATTTAAAATGGCAAACACAGCTTTAGCGAAAGATACCTAAAAGTTATATTCTTCTAGCAAAAAAAACCTACTGGAAATTAAATCGGCGGATCTTCTAGTTAGTCCCATCTTCGAGGCCGTTCCCTAAAATCTTATTTACCGCGGCAGCCCTTCTTTATTCTCTCAAATAGCCCTCTATTTCGCTCGCATTACAAAAAAATGCCCGGGCCCCGGGTTTTTATCAGTTGTTATCGTGGAAATTTCGCTCTTTGCCCCACCCTTTTTGAAATTTTGTGTTCACGGCGGCCTTGAGGGGGCAAAATCCCGTTCCGTAGCGTAGTAGCTAGGCAAAAACACCGCAATAGAAATTTTTTGGTTGTTCACAAAAACGTTGTTTTCTACAAAACTTCTCTGGCTGAACATTTTCGAGAAGGTTTCCAACACCGGGCAGGGTGTTTTTCGTAGGATCCAATTCTCCAAATATAAATAGCGGCTCTACTTCTAAACCGTTTTTCACTATTCTTAAACGTAAAAAATTACCAAACGAAAAATGGCAGTTTTTAGCATAATGTAGATTTTTTCAAAATATTTTGTGAAGTATTTAGATAAAACACTGATAAAATACTCCGGGCAAATATGCCTATTCGCGTTTCCGGAAGCCGATAAGATGTTATCATTGGACATCCCAAAGCTCGATTTCTCTCATTCGCAAGGATAGTTTAAAATTTATCGTAAGCCGAACGTCAACATATAAAACGCACCCAATTACAAGAATACCAACGGAAGAACAGTGGGTGCAGAAAGACTGGAAATGTTATCACACGCGCAGAAAGAAACAATCAATCTCTACAGGGAAAGATAATATGGGAGGCGAGTGAAATATAATTTTTCGGGCTTTGTACTTCTCGGGCGTGCTCAGCTGCGCTTCTTCATGCCGAAGACGCGGCGCATGCGCTCGTCGTACTCGTTGGCCAGGTTCTGGAAAGAAAAGTTATATCAGGAGGTGAAAACAAAATACAAGTCCTTCGAAAAACGAACCAGCATCAAATCGGCGACAGCATCCGATGGGCGGGCTACAAGCTGCAGGGCGTGACCGATGGTGAGCAGGGCATTCTGAATTCTAGATCAAGAAGCAAAGATATAGCTTACCTTGAACTCGGTGACCATGTACCAGACCTGATTCACCGGAATCTTGTTGTTCATCAGCAGATAGTTGCGCGAGCGGTGCTTCCAGAAGTCGACGGCGAACGAGTTGAGGTGGATCTAGAAATTGCGGTGCGAAAAGAGTTAAAAAAGCTACCTTTTCTCCACGGTGGTCAACCGGCTTGAGGTCGATGGCCGGCACGAAGCTCTCGTCGAACGAGAACGACTTTGCGAAAACCGGGACGAGCTCGCGCTTGAAGTGGTGCTCCTTGGTGAACGTGGCGCCAGAGATGGCATAGTCGGGGTCCTAAAAATCGTTGCAAAGGCGCATTCTAGCAGTTACCATCAAAGTTCCATTCGGGGCCAGCGTGCGCATGAAGTCGTTGTACATCTGCATCGCCTTCGCCGAGTAGCCCACCACCTCGACCTCGACGATTTCCGGCAAAGGTTGGAGGTGGACCTAAATACAAGGAGACAGTCAAAAAATTAAAAATAGCAAGCATACCCCCTTGGCCGTGTCGTAGTTTGGCGGCAAGTAGCTGCGCGTGAGCAGCGTGGCCAGGATGTTCAGCACGATCTGCTTCAGCTCGTCGCCTTTGTGCTTGCGGCACAGGTGGTGGAAGACCCCGCGCTGCAGCAGATGCGCAAACACCAGATTCCCGGGCTCGTACGCCTGCAGCATGGTGACCATCTCGAACAGGCCGCGGCCGGCGCCCTAAAATAATCTTTTTTTAGGCAAATTCGCGACAAGACCTTATTGTCAATCAACTGCTCGTCGCGCAGGAGTTGGGCTGAGAACCAGGTGTAGACGCGCAACTGGCGCAACAGGTTCACACGATCGTCGCCAGTACGTGTGACCAAGGCGAACGAGTTGGTCAGCAGATTCGTGGCGGCCTAAACGTTAATAGAAATACAGTGGTATACAAAAAAAGACCCGGCGCGGCTGGGAGTGCCAGATTTCTATGGGTTCCTTGGCATTATCGGGCGGGGCACTTTTTCTGAGAATCGATTTTTCCAATAAAATTAGTGGCAGTTTTTCTAAATGGTTTTTACGTTTCTCAAACATGAAAACTATACAAAATTTGATTGAACTCATAAATACAAATTTTTCAACAAAAAATGGTCGCTTTTTTACCAAAATGGCGAGGTGCCAAAACATTTTAGGTAGCTTTCTGGTTAAAATATAGCTCTTGTTTATTAATAACACTATTGCTATTCAGTTACTAGACATTTCTAGACTTTCACAAACAAGTTTCATCCCCCGATAATGCGAAAGAACCAGAAATCGTCCAAATCAAAAATTTCCACATCCCGATAGGCCCGGATCTTTTTTCTGAGAGATCCTGTAGAACAAACGATACCTTGAGCCTCTTCGCCAGCACCGTGTTCATCGACTCGTTCAGTCCCTCCTCGTGCTCCGGGTTCTGCTGGTGAAGGCGCGAGAAGATGCGCAGCAAGTAGGAGATCGTGAACGGCGGGTTCGGGTGCAAGTTGGGCAACGAGCCGGTCAGCAGACGGCGCATTTTTCTAAAGCAAAATTAGGGTTGCAAGCAAAAGCTAAACGCCTACCCAGTCGGAATTGCGGTGAAGATGACCTTGCCAGAGTGGTCAAACCCACGCCGACCCGCACGACCGCTCATCTGCCGGTAGAGCAACGGCGTCAGCTTCGGGTCGTCGATGCCAAAGATGATGGTCTTGCACGGCATGTTGATACTAAAATAGGATAAAGTGGAAAAGACAACTTCAGCTTACCCAAGAGCCAGTGTACTCGTCGAGAAGAGCAGCGACAGATGGCCGGTACGGAACAGTACTTCAACAGCGCCCTTTTCGACCATCGACAAGGCGTCGTGGTGGAAGCCGATGCCACGCTCAAACAATTGCAGCAGTAACCTAAAAGAGACATTTTCCTAGGTATTGGATAAAGCTACCTTGTGCTACTCCTACCCTTCGCCTGACGCTTCATACGTTCCGTCATCTTCTCGTACGCATCAGAATCGACGATTGTCCGGCCGTGGAGACGGAAACTGAAGGACAAAAATAAAGAACAAGCTTTATAAACCGACCGCTCCAACGCTTTCTCCAGCTTGGCCCGTTGCATGGCGAGCGGGTCCGAGGCGAAATCCTCCTGCTCGGGCTCGTCCTCCGGCTTGTCGCCCTTCTTTTTCTTCTCGGCAGCATCGCGACGGCGTTTTGCCTGTTTCATCAGCTTCTCCTCGTCGCGGATCTCGAACTTGTCCCTGAACTCGGCGGTCAGCTCCCATTCTCGTTGGCGCGCCTCGAGTACATCGCAGAGTCTAAAAAATAAGAATAAGCGTTTACGAAAATGGCGTCAAGACTTGCAGCCCTAAATTTTTGATCGAACAGCGCCGGTTTTAACTTTAAACTGAATTTTGAAATACGAATTGGCTGAAATAACTTTTACAGCTTCATTGAAGCGCAAATTCAGGGAATTGGCGGGAAGGAGTGAATGCCTATGAAAATCCACAGATTCCTTTTAGATGGCTCATTAAGGTTCTAAAAACACTTTTGGAACCGCAACCACCGGTTTCAAAAAGCCAGAAACCAGAAAAATTGCGCTGCGCTCAGAAAACTCCTTACTGTTTTGCCATATTCTCGCAGGTGGAGCGATCCTCGTTGAAGCAGATGGCCGGCAGCATCTTGTCCTTTTGGAGGCTGTCAATGAGCGGGACGATGTGCTGGCTGAGCAGTTGTTCCTGAAAAACGTAAAAATCTAACACGCCAACTGCAAGGTACCTGATTGTAAGCGCGCGAGCGAGCCTGCATTTGGCCCTCGATGGGCTTCTGGAAGGCCTCCAAAATTCGGCGCATCTTGGGCTCGTCGTGTTGCAACAGGTGCAGGAATCTAAAACGATATTTAATTCAAGTTAAATTTCACGAACAATCCAAAAAACGAAGCAACATACCGATCCTTCAGCCCCGACTCCAGCCTCCTCAGATCGGCCCTCGAGAGCCAGACGGGCTTTGTCGGCTCGTATTTGAAGAAGGCGCAAGGCTCAAAGTCGACTCTAAATTAGCATAAGGCAGTCGATGTACAGTAATTAGCATAAAACATCCAAAGTATTTACTTCGTCTGGTCGTCAAATTCGCACATCGTCTCGTAGAGCTCAAGAATCTGGCGGGCGGTCAGCTGCTGGTCCTCGGGGATGCCGAACATGCGCAGCTTCTCGGGCATGTAGACGCCGTACGGGATGAAGGGGATCAGACCCTGAAAAAAAAACTCGTATTGATGAAATAAAAAACCATACCATCTTCTCCTCGGCTCCCTTTACGTCGACAATGTTGTGGATGGCGAGCTCGAGCTCGGAGTAGCGCTCTTGATGCGTGATCAGCGAGACCTAGAAGTCAGGATAAAAATTGCCCGAAGAGAGGCCCAAAATATATTTATGCCGTACAGAAAATGAGCCTTGCTCCCCCAGTACCCAAAATCACCAAAAGTAATAAAATTTTAGCTTTTACCAGTGATTAGTAAAAAATAAGGCTTATTTAAAGCTGCAAAACACACCCTTCTAGCTTTGTCCGACTTGTCCTGCTCGAGCTTGTTCATCCACTCGTGCAGCTTGTTCACGTTGCCGATCGTGGCCGAGAGGGCGAGGAACGGCGTGTTGATCAGCAATATGAGATGTTCCCAGATGACGGCATCGTCAGAAGAGCTAAAAAGACAAAAATATATCGCACTTAGAGTACTACCCAATAGAATGGACTTCGTCGAAGATGACGTA